TGTTCACAATAAAATTTTATTTTGTAAAATCACTTCTAATGTAATACATCTAACAAGCAAAATACATATCACATTGCTTATGTTTCTGATAATAATCATTATTTGATTTATTATCCACCAATTAATCTATGAAACACCATATCTTAATAATAATTATTCACATATATTAATTTAATTTAATTAATTTTCATGAAAATTAAACACTACTCAAATTTGAACCAATAATAAATTTTAAATATATATATCAACATTTTATTTATAAACGACCAACAAAGATAGAATCATACAAATAGTTTGACTCAACTTATTATCTTAATTTTGGTACCATGATTTAATAATAAAACTAATATTGTGGCCAAATCTTATTATTTTGCATATATTCTCTACTTGCATATAATTTCTCATGATAAATTCCTTTACCCATTTTTTATTATTTTCATAGAAACTATAAAATAGTTTATCTGTTCTATATATAACCAAGACATGATAATTAAACAAACGGTCATTCCATTATAATTTAATTCAATTCATTATTTGATAACAAGTGATAATTTTTTTGATCATAAATCAATTTATGTCTTTCTTTTTTATGTTTTTAGGCTATTTCACATCCTAGTCTTTACAAGCATCAAATTTTCAAATATATATAATACAATTCATTAAACCTAATTGTGGAGTCAATTTCAATATATGCATAAACTTATGCAATGTATCAATATTTTGCATATTGTATTTTGACTTTATACGCTAATGAAATAAATTATTAACGTGTTATCTCATTCAATCAATTTTTTTATCAGTAATTATGCAAAAATAAAATGTATACCTCTAATGAAGATCTTTATGAAAATTAATATTTTAATCCATAAAAGCATTAATCCTTTGACACCTTGAACTTTCTCTAATATGATCTCCAAATCATGCTAATTTTTTTTCCTTGTATCTTCTTTATGCGAAATATAAATTTCTCATAATTACCTTTAAATTATTAAAAAAAATAAATAAGAGAAGAGAAATAATATAAAAAAATTTTGATTTTGAGACGTGAAGAACATTTTCTTAAAAGCAGTGATACTTTTAAAATACAACAAAACCTCAAATTCTATAATTAAAAATAGTGAAAATAGTTATACTGTAAGATTTATTTATAATGAATGAACAGATATAAATTTTTATTCAGATGATTATGACTTTTTGTATAATCATGACGTTTATAAAAATAATTTATTTATATTCAAATAGTTATAATAATTTATCATAAGATAATTGTTTCTGTTCAAACATAATTATTTAAAATATGAATAAAATTAATATCAAAATTAATTTTATTTATCAATAATTAAACATTTTTATCCAATGTGAAATACCCTGTATCTTAAACCACCAACAATATTTGAGTTCGCAATCAGCTGCACAGCCTTCCATTTAAATCTTTCTAACCCCAAATGCCTCTCATTCCCTAACCGGTTGGATTTGAACCGGTCACGAGGCCTGCCCACAGCCCATCTAAACCATCACTCTACTACCATTTTCCATTTTTCAACTTTAAGTTTAATCAATTTGCCCATTGTAATTTATCTCATTGTTATCGCCTCAAATATCAACTAAATAAAAAATGGGTTCAATTCTAACACATGATACACATCCTCTAAATTAAGGCCACAATTAATTATCATTGCTTAATCACCTATCCATTAGACTTTAAAAAGAAGTATAGTTATAAATGGAACTACCACAGTAGAAGTAGAATGGTGAAGCCGCGAGATCTGAATGGGAAAAGGAGGCACGTGGTAAAATAGCCAACCACACGAGTTGGGTGAGAAGATGTGGCAGTCAAGATCGTCCCGACATTTACTTCATCGCATGCTGCGTTTTGCCACACCTCGTTGGTTGTTGGCTTCGTTCCTGTGCATGTCTAATGTCTCTCCCTTCGCTTTGTTCCATGTCACAATAGCAGGGTTCATTTTTGTTCAAAACTGCCCACCTTGAGCTTACAAAAGCTAACTCTACCAGTTCATCAGTTAAAATTTGAAGGCGAAACATGCATGAATTTTGACTCAAAACTTGGCCAAACCTGAGCTTATCTTAGGTGCTCCTTTGTCATATCTGCTGATGCTGGATCAAATTTTGAAACTATAGGCTTAAACATGATCAAAAGTTCACAAAATAAAAAGTGGTGGCTAGATCCTAAAGACTCACAAGGTGGAAGACGAGTGAAACAGTTAAATTATACCAACTTGTTCATCTCATCTTATGGAACTTAAAAATAACTAAAAAAAGAAAAATCATTCTGAGAAAGTATATATCATGCACCGGTACTGCCTCATAATAAAGCAACATCTGAGTGGAAGTGTCAAACACCAGATCAAACTATACTAAAAATGAGAAAGATATGTAAATCTGAAGATTTTCATACAAAATGCCGAGCAGCAAAAGCTATCATTGATGACTTCCTATATTTCTTGTATCATGGAATAAAAATACTAGTTTTTGTCAGGCTTCATCAACTATATCGGAGATTATATTCATAACGAGAATCAAGCACACAAGAAAACAATGTAAAGGATTTATCACATACCAGTAAAGCTTCACCAGTAATCATACTTTTGTTGTTGAAGTTTAGTTCAAGCTACTTCATCTATATGAAGGTCATTTGCAAAAAGGAAAGGAAAACTACCTAAACATCAACATGCCAGCGTGTTCAACATTGTCCCAAACATGCAGGTAGTTCCTATGATGTAAGAATCAGTTACGATCATTGGTTTGGTCATACTCATGAAGTGATAAAGATTGTGCCATGTTCTGAACTAGTTTGGGTAGAAGCTCTGCTGAAAAGAACATTTTAATATTTGAGTTTGAATGTCTGATGTAGCCAATCCAAATATAAAAGCTTGAATTATATTGGGTCTTTTACAACAAAGAACATTTTTCCTCAAGCAGTTTTCAAAGTAATATCCCTGCTCAAGGCACTACTGAACCAGCTAAAACAGCTGACATTATCACTTTACAAAAGTCCTATTCACCACGATTTTAGAGTGTTAATCTAGAATGACAGCATTGGTTTTGTAGGAAGTGCTCCAGACTTTCAAGTTATGAAAAAAAGTCACCATAAAGGATGTAAGAAGTAGCCTCATTTCCAGGACATGAAACATGAGTATTTACCATGAACTACCACTTGACACAAACTGTACTTATCAAAAGATGAAAGACAACTCAGCCGACAACCGCACACCCTCATACATACTCCAAAATTCTCTGAACAATTTCCAAAGCAAATGCAACTGTGAAAGTACTAAGGAAAATGATTCGGCTATGTATGTCCACAAAATGTGAGCTAATACAAGAAAAGAAGAAAGAATTGAAAAGCAAACCTTATCCAGCATTAATAAGTACTTAGTCTCCAAATATTCAGCATCAAAACCGGAATCTAAGAGAACACTTAGGATAAGAAAACAGATATTTTAACCAAAGTTGCAGGATATATTCAACAATATCTCGAGATAGACAATGATATTGATACCAAAGAAACATTGCCCAGATTACACAATGGAAACTCGCGTTTGCATTTAAAAATGGTGAAAAAAAAGCGCACCAGATACCCATTTTGAGCATAACAACAAACATCTAGTAGACATTACTCGTTCATCCATCCAAACAAATCTCCTTCAGCTTCTGGGCAGCTGATTCGTCCAACGAGTACTGCAATCACGAGAATACCCAATAAATTCCATTTTTTTTAATGATACATGAAATGTACAAATGTTAATATAGGTGAATTTAGTGTTCAGACGTCCCTTGTTGAGGACCCAAAGAGAGTGGTTAAAGGCGCAGCAGAAGAGATCGTCGAGGGCTTTGAAGTCCGAGGCATCGAAGTCCCTATAATTAACGAAGTTCTGGTGGGCGTGTAAGGCCTCGAGTCTCTTGGTAAGTGCCTCGCCAACCTAAGCACCCGAGCATACTCTCAACGCTTTCTCCATCTTCTCTTTCAAAAACTTTCTGCACTTGGATGGCTCTACTTAGGCGTGTTTTTCCTTGCTTGGACTACTAATCGGCCCATTAGGCCGCATCTGAAACTAAACTTCCTTTATTTTCAAAATGATTCTGGTTGGGTTAGACCGTCCTAGAAAATCCTTAACAACAGGCCACATATATGGGTTTAGGCGAGCCAGCCAGCCCATAAAGTGACTGCCACACATGATTTTCTCTTTCTTTTGAACTTTTATTTTAATCTATTTTTTCATCTCTACTTTTTCATGTAATGAGATAATTAGAAAAAAAAAAAAAAAAAGAAGAATCAGGTTACCGCAATGCAATTTCGACGTTGTAAGGACAACTGATATTCGATATGACCAGCCCACCGGTCCAAAAGGTACTGGCAGTAGTAGTTTATAAGGGAAGAAGTTAATAGGAAGTTCTTTAAGAGAAGTAATTTGTGAAATTTTTTTATTAAAAATAATTTCATAAAAATTTAAATTTATAAATTGTTAGAGTTGAATAAGAAAATTAATAATATGTAAAATATATTATTGAAAATATCAATTGATCAGTGTTTATTTAATGATAAAAAATTTTTTCAAAATTTTTATTAAAATATCTATTTAAAAAGCATATTAAAATTTTTTTAAAATTTTATTTTTAATTTATATTTATATTAAATTTGATCAACATTTATTTAATAATAATAAATTTTTCAAAATTTTTTATTAAAAATATTTATTTCAAAAATATATCAAAATTTTTAAAAATTTTTTAAAACTTTTATATTTGATTTATATAATAAAAATTTTTAATTTTAATTTTAATAAAAAAATTTCATGAAGTTCATCTAACAAAATCTTTCCCTTTGTAAGAAAAATATCGGAAAATGTAAGCTTCCAACCAATGAACCAATGGTAAACTACAAAACTTATGTTCCGAATATATTCACGAGGCATTGATAGGATAAGAACAGAGGATTTTGTTTTATTTTATTTTATTTATCCTTCTTATGGTATTTTATTTTTCATTTTTGTGATTGAAATTCAGACATGCAAGTTGTTCTGTTTCGCATGTGACATGACACGTGTAGGCCGCTACGTCCAGAAAAACGTCAAACTACCACGTCCCGCCCTCCGCTCTTGCCCATGGAAAATGCCTTCGTTTTCGTTATCAGGTTGTGAAACTAGAAAATGAAAGATTTGAAAGAAAGTGGAAGAAAAATAAACTGTAGTAGTAAATAAGAAAATCAAAATCAAACTAACAACTAAACCACTTAGCACCACCAGTTGAATTCCATGTAGTTCTTTCATTCGTTCATGGTTTATGTTACTTGCAAGTTGGCGAATCTACCATCACTCATTCTTTACTAAATTCCTAACAACAGCAAGAATCTTTCTCTCCAGACAACAGTCCACTCTTTTCATCTCCAAGCGCTCTAAACTGCATAGCCCCTGAAACCCACCAAGCAAACGTGATGGACATTTGGTCTTGGATATGTGAGCTTCCTAGCTCTGAAGAGTGGGCCGAATCTGACTCACCACTAATCTTTAGACTTGCGAGTGCTGGAAAGATGCAAGGCGACTCGAGTCGTTCAATCCAACTCAGAGCAGAGCGTACATTCGAGTCCAATTCAGAGGCCTTGCTGACTTTCAACATATGTTTCGAAGGGTTTCAACCTTCCGATACTCAAAAGCCTATCTGGGTTTCTGACGCATGTCCTCTATCTTCAGAGCAACCGTTCCTCCCTCTAGTACTCCAGCTTGTCCAAGAAATCATCAACCGTTCACCTGCGGTCCCTGACAGCACCTGCCCAAGGTCCCAGCTCCAGAAACTCAAACCCAAACCCGTTTCTTGGATCATGGAGTCTCACTCACCCGACTCATTTTCAAGTTTCTTTAACTTGGTCTTTCTGACGCGCTTGTTTTGGTTGTGTGCTTGTGACGCTCCTAGTGAAGTTGGGTCTTTCTATTTTCAATATTTGCTAGGTCCAAATATCGAAATCTTAACATGCAAACAAGCTCCTGTGCTGCGGACTTTTCTGGTATCTGTTGGTGTAGACACCGAGCTCTGTTTCATGCGAACCTTGGGGTACATGCTGGTAAAATGGATCATTTTAAAGGAAGTTAGCGTTGGATTACAAACACTAACTCCTTTAGTGCAGCACTTGGGAATTTCATATGCAACTGAGGCTCATGGACTGTGGACCTTGAAGGGATATGCACCTATTAACGCAATGAAGCTGACGCATTCCAGTGATCAAAGGAGTAAATTTCCTGCCATTGGAGCCAAGGAGTCATTGTTAAGATACGCCCTAGCACACCAGCAGCTTGAGGCAGTCATTCAATTGGAATACTCCGTGGGATTCTACGATGGGTATATTCAGGTAAATGCACGTGTTGATAATTTACGCTTCCACGTGGCTAAACTAGGATTAAGTAAAAAAAAGGCTGACATGGATTTTTTCGATGAAAGACACTTTCCATCGAGGATCCGAGTTTGGGCTGGACCGGAAGTTGGGACAACGTATGTGTCCGCGTTAAGCTTGGGTCGCTCCACAAACAATGGAGAAAGCGAAGTAGAAAAGCAAAGAATCGTCAAAGGGAGTTTAGGAAAATTAAAGACTCCGCATGTTAAAGCCAGAGCAAAGGTGTCCATGAAGAACAAGATGAAGAATTGGAGGTGGGATCAAGACGCCGAAGGGAATGCTGCGGTGTTTGATGCAGTTTTATGCGACAATGTGACAGGTCATGAGATTGCCACATGGAACTCGTTCGATAATGTTAATTACAGTGGCAGCGGCAAAAATAGTTTTCACAATAGGTATTATGGAGTTAACAGGCCATTTACCAAAACTGGTGGGTTGGTTTTTGCTGGAGATGATTATGGAGAAAGAGTGGGGTGGAGATTAAGCAGAGAAATGGAAGGAAGTGTTTTGAAGTGGAGAATTGGAGGGCAAGTTTGGTTAAGTTATTGGCCTAATAATGTTAGAAGTTCTTACGTCGAGACAAGGTGCGTGGAATGGTGTGACGAAGTTGATTTGCCATTGATTCCTGCAAAATAGAATAGTGAATTTGAGCTTGTAAAAACTCGTGTATAATGAAATATATATATATATATATATATGTATAGCACTATTATGCTAGCTAGAGGCTTCCTAGGCCTTAGTTTGCTTAATCGCCTTGTAACTATAATTTGCGAAGCCAAAATAAAGCACTTGAAAACTTGCCACCGAGTGCCAACCTTCTTTTTTATCCATATCCCGTAAGAAAAAAATATAAGATGTCAATCAGAACTTGGGATTTCCATAACATAACCAGCTTAAACCCTGTCGACTCCTTCGCTAAACCACATGCAAAGAACACGAATTGCATGTTTGTGAGCCTTGATGGAGGCCATGGAATATAAAATACGCTGTTGGTTAATGGGTTGGATACAAAATGTTCATCCAACCAATGAAGAAGACCATTGCATGAATTGGAAAGCATTGGACGACGTTCGAAAACCGCTGGAGAAAATTCTAAACCTGAGATCCATTCCTTATTTTCATCGATGGGTATGTAACTAAGGTGTTCTTGGTGGTCAGAACAACTTTGGTAAAAGAAACCGGAACCCTTGGACGCTGTTCTTTTTTTTTTTTTTTTTGGAGATGGACAAGAAAACAAGGATAAGAAAGCCAACGGTAACAGGATTTTGTTAGGAAAATGAATTCCAGCCTCATGTAATTGATTTTGAACCTATCAAAGGCCATGGGTTTTGATCTTTCTTTTTACATAGAGCCCTAGTTGCTTAATAAAAGGAGATGGAGTTGTTTTAAGGTGGTGTCGCAAAACCAAGAAGAGAACAAAGAAAAGCTAGAAAAAATAGAGAGAAAAAAGAGAAGGGAGAGTTGGTTGAACGGAAGTTGATCTGTGATCCGATTAAACTAAAATTTTGTCAGCAGGTTTATGATTCAGAGTTTTACATTTTGAATAGTGAAGATTGAGTTTAAAGCTCTCTAGAAACAAATTCAGGGTATATTTGTTGAGTCACCTATTTGGTGAGATTTTTCTAATTATCTCTCTAGTTATTGATTAGCTTTAGTTTTAACTAGAGAAGACCTTTGTATATCCATTATTTGAAAGTGAAAATTTTTCTAGTGATCCGTGATTTTTTTCTTGACACTAGAGGATTTTTCATGTAAATTTTGGTGTGCTTTTATTTTTTCTGTGTTGTTGATTGTTGATTGTTATCTATTATTGTGAGTTTATTGTGATATATTACTTCTGTATTGTTATATTTATTGCTTCAGGGCCAACAAGTGATATTAGAGCAAGGGTTATTTTGAAACATCGATACAAAAACATCTCAAGACATAAGTAAATTTTGTTTGAGATCATGAAGGGTGATACATGTTCCATGATAAAATTGATAGCATCAAATTATTCAATTTGGAAGCCTACGATAGAAGATCATTTATACTGTAAAGATTTGTATGAGTCGGTATTAGATGATTTTGTTAAACTAGCAAATATAAAAGATGAAAGTTAGAGAAAGTTAGGTAGAAAGACACTGGCTACAATAAAAAATAGATTGATATCAACGTGTTCCATTATGTAACACAGGAGGTAAATGCTCACATTATTTGAAAAAAATTGATAGCATTGTATGAGAGAAAAACATGTATGAATAAAGTTATACTTGTTAAAAAACTTGTAACTTTACAGTATAGGGATGGACGATCTATTACAATGCACTTGAGTGATTTTTAATATATATTTAATCTGATGACTAATATGGAGCTTAAGATGGATGATGAAATGAATGTGTTATTTTTTTGGGTTCATTGCCAAATAGCCGGAATACTTTAGTTGTGACTATTCTTAATTCAGCTCCTAATTATAATGTGACATTGGAAATGATAAAAGACATATGCTTAATGAAAAAGCAAGACAAAAGATGTAGACCTTAGGAATCAATCTCTGGTCACAAGGAATAGGGGTAAAAACATCGACAGAGGTCAGAACTTAAAAAAGTCATAGTAAGTCTAAACATAGATCCAAGTCTAGAGATAAAGTGAAGTGTTTTTATTGTGACAAAGCAGCTCATATAAAATGACACTGTAAAATCTTGAAGCAAGAGTGAAAAGATGAGAAAGGTAAGAGTTCAGATGATGGCAATGTTACAACAGTGAATTCAGATTGTAATTCAATTACTTTGATTTATACACATGATGATTGTAATCATATTGGTGATCCCGACATTAAGTGGATAGTTGACACATGAGCGACATATCATTATGTTCTTAAGAGAGAGTTGTTTATAACTTACAATACAGGAGACTTTGGTTACACCAAGATGAAAAATAAGAGTATATCACAGATTATTGGGATTGGTGATATCATTGTATAAACTAGTACAAGCTATATGTTGACTTTGAGGGATGTTAGACATATTCTGGATATGAGAATTTACTTGTTTGCTATTAATGCCTTTGATAAGGATGGATATGAGAGTCGATAAAAGAATAGGCAGTGAAAGCTTCTCAAAAGATCTATGATAGTTACAAGAAGAAAATTATATTACACAATGTATAAGACATGGATGCAACTGAATGACAACAAGGTAAATGTCATTGAAGATGATGTTTCAATAAACTTATGGCATAAGAGGCTGGCACATATCAGCAAGAAGGGGTTACAGGTTTTGACAAGACAATTTCTCTTTCTTTTGACTAAAGGTATGTCTTTCGATGCATGTGATTATTGTTTGTTTGGTAAACATCGTAGAGTTTCTTTTCATAAGAGTTCTCAAATAAAAGAAAATAGATTGAAATTAATTTATTCTGACGTATGTAGTCCCATTGAGGTTGAGTTATTAGGTGGTAGCAAGTATTTTGTTACTTTTATTGATAATGCTTTTACGTAAGACTTGAGTGTATATGTTAAAAAATAAAAGTCAGGTATAGCAATATTTTAAAAAATTTCATGCTATGATGAAAAGATAACAAGGTTACCCTTGAAGTATATTTGAACTAATAATGGTGGGAAATGTACATTCAAAGACTTTGAAAAGTATTATTTAAAGCATGAGATCAGGCATGAGATGACAGAACCTGAAACACCGTAGCATAATAGTGTAGCTGAAAAGATGAATCGCATTATTGTGAAAAAAGTTAGATGTATGTTGAGGATGGTAAAATTATCAAAGTCATTCTAGGATGAAACAGTTAACACAGCTTGTTATTTATTTAACAGGTCACCATCAGTTCTTTTGGGCTTTGACATTCTAAAAAGAGTGTGGATAGGGAAAGATGCTTCATACTCTCACTTGAAAGTTTTCAGGTGTAAAGTATTTATGCATGTGTCGAAAGAGTAGAGGTCAAAGCTTGACAGTAAAGTCACACAATGTGTGTTTATGAGATATAGTGATAAGGAATTTAGCTACAGGGTATAGGATCCAATGAAGAGAAAGACAGTTAGAAGCAGAGATGTGATCTTTCATGAAAAAGAAACTATAACAGACCTTGAGAAAAATGAGAAGACTACACATGTTACTGTTGAATGTGATGTTTCAACATCGATAGGAGTTTCACAGAAAAGAGCCATAAATGTTAGAAATGAGCAAGAAATGAACTTTGAGATATAAATGAGTCAACCATAATTAGTGATGAGTCAGATGCAATTAGTTTTGAGCAAGAAGAACAATCCTCTCTATTTAAGAGTGTTGAGTATTGGAAGCTACTTTCGGCATCAAGTGATGTAGAGTCTCAGCCTAAGAGATCTACTAGAGAGTGTAGGCCATCTGTCAGGTATCCAAGTTCAGATTTTATTTTAGTTACTAGTGAGGAGAAGCCAAAAACTTTCAAGATGTGCAGGCTACTTTGAATAGAGAGCACTGATTAAAAGCAATAAAAGAAAAAATGAAGTCATTGTGAAAAAATGATACTTATGATCTTGTTAAACTTTCAAAAGAAAAGAGGTCGTTGAAAAATAAATTGGTGTTCAAGTTGAAAAAAAAATGATGATAAACTAGTGAAGCATAAAGCTCGATTGATGGTAAAAGATTTTTCTTAGAAACCAGGCATCGATTTTGATGAGATTTTTGCTCTAGTTGTGAATATGAGTTCCATTCGAGTGGTACTAGGATTAACAGCTAGTTTAAATTTTAAGCTTGAGCAACTTGATGTTAAAACTACATTCTTACAAAGTGACTTACAGGAAGATATTTATATGAATCAGCCTGAGGGTTTTGAAGTGAAAGAAAAAGAGCACTTAGTTTACAAATTGAATAAAAGCTTGTATGGCTTGAAATAAGCTCCGCGATAGTGGTGGAAGAAATTTGATTCTTTTATGATGAGTCACAGCTATAAAAAGAACGACAGAGGATCCTTGTGTGTATATTAAAAAAAAATTTGATGGTAACTTCATTATTCTCTTATTATATATTGATGATATGTTAATTGTGGGACAAGATGCTGATATGATTTACAGGTTGAAAGAATAATTGTCTAAATCTTTTGACATAAAAAGATTTACGTCCAGCAAAGTAGATTCTTAGTATGGATATTATTTGGGATAGGAGAGCTGAAAAGCTATGGTTGTCACAGAAAAAGTATATTGAACGAGTGCTTAGTAGATTCAACATGCAACATGCTAAATTAGTTAGCAGTCCACTTACCAAACATTTTTCTCTGAGTAAGAAATCTTGTTCGGTGTTTAAGAAAGAGCAACTAGTTATGTCTAGTATTCTTTATTCTTCTATAGTTGGTCATTTAATGTATCTTATAGTTTGTACATGGCCTGACATTGCTCATGCAGTTGGTGTAATGAACAGATTTCTTTTTAATATGAGAAAAGTTCACTGGGAAGTAGTGAAATAAATTTTTAGATATTTAAGGGGCACTTAAAAAATGTGCTTGAGTTATGGAATCTTACAACCAATTTTAGAAGGTTTACTGATGCTGACATGATAGGTGATCTTAATGATAAAAAATCTACTTCAGGATGTTTATTCACTTTTGTAAGAGGAGCTGTATCTTGGCAATTTAAGTTATAGAAGTGTGTTGCTTTGTCAACTACAGAGACTGAGTATATTATAGTAACCAAAGCAGATAAAGAAATGCTTTGGATAAAACATTTTCTTTTTGAATTGAGGTTGAATCAGAAATAGTATGTAGCATTTTGTGATAGCC